GGAGAACATGGTCTGACACTTGCTTCATGGTACCACCTGGAGGCAAGGCGAGGGTGGAGGAGATCTACAAATGAAGGCCACCAATATCTACCAAAAAAGGACCAGATAACTGTGACCGACCATGGTGGTTTATGTCCATTTGCGACATTATGCTAAGGACTAAATAAGGGCACCCTGAGGCAGCAGGCACTGGACTTGTGGCTTCAAAGAGGATGACTACACAATTATACTTGTCAGATACAACCAGAATTCTTAAGTCCTAGCAGACACTGCTGTAGCCACAGTTTGTTCAAACCTTTGGCCAACTCTGGCGGCTCTATTGCAGGGCTGCACAGAAATGGCTTGGAGTTTCTAATGAGATGAGATCCCCACGTTATCGGCAATGTTCTCTGTTACGGTCATGCTGATGGGTGCTTCTGTGCTTCCACCCCAGCGAGAAGTAATAAGCTAAGAATATGGAACTTGGGGGAAGGCAGGTGGTGTGGTGGTTAAGAACGCTGGACTCCCCACATGGCCAACTGCAGTTCAAGTCCTGGACCTGGTGGCTTGCTTTCTCACATTCCCTCACTCTCTCTCAAGTAGGATAATAATAACAATAAAGTTAAATAGAAATAATTCTTAAAGAAGAATATGGACCTTGAAGGATTAATTAATATCTTTTCTTTTCTTTTCAAATTGAATCTGATAAGGGATCTGCAAGAAACAAGCACCAAAACCACGATTATTCTTGTGAGTTTAGTGTACATCGGCACTCATTCTCATACATTTCAGCTAATTTATAGTGACATCTATTCACTATTCAACACATGTGTGAGTGCCTATGAGAGATTCAGACTCCTACATTATGTTTAGTCTCCCGAGCATTTTAAGCAAAGCTGGGGGTGTGGTTTATAGGAGTCTAATAAAGTGTTCTGGACAAAAATAACCTACATAGACCCCAGGAGTGTGGCGGGGAATATACTAGGTGAGCATTCAGCATTCAGCATTCTCTCCCCGCACAGCTCCTACATCTCCCTGGCTCGCCCAGCCATACTGGGTGGCCCTTGATGACATTGACAGGCTTGAGGTGCTCCAAAGCTTGGTCCAAGTACCATTAGGCACTGACTCGTGCTGACAACAGCTGGAATTTGACAGCCTGCCCAGCACTAGAGACAGGTGAGCCTCCAGACGCCTGGCCCAGTGACAGCTCTGATATGTCATCCTGCTATTATTTCTAGGTTTGTGCGGGGTCTGGGGTTTCCCAGGAGATTTGCACTTGAGAAGGAGCCAACATGACAGGCAGGAACAGGTACTGTTATTGATCAGTGAGAAAAACAGGCCACTGCACTCCTGGTCTAAACCGTGACTGTTGGAATCTCAGGAATGGGCAGGGGTAATGGTATCCCCAGCCTGGCTCAGAAAGGACTCTAGCAGTCCTCCCAGGAATTGCCCCATTTATTAGTCAGCATTCAGGAAGAAGGAAGCTTGCCATTTAATCCTGCAACTGTCGTCTTGTTCAAACTGCCATCTTGCTGAGATTGTTGCAGGATTCCCCACTAGTCTCCACGCTCTGTATCTTTCATGGTCCAGTCCCCGTCTCTACCATGCCACCATTCTTCTCCATCTCTCCTTCATTTGGTGATTTCGGGCACACACTCACATGTACCCAGCATGTGTTTCAAGCCACCAGGTCCAGAACTCAAACCCCACAGGTAAACTGTGTGTGATCCAGCTGCCTTAACCACCAGACCATAAAGCTATCCCTTCATTCATTTTTTTCAGCTTATTTTTTTCTTTCTTCCATGAGCAAGAGAGAAGAGAGACAGAGAAAGAGAGAGACCGAGAGATGGTCACCCCCAGCAGGGTCTTCACCTCTGGTCCTGCCCAGCCCTGATCACTGCCATGCCCTGGCAGCCCAATCAGGAGACTCCAGATGGACCCCAGAATCTTGCTATGTGGGTCAGTCTTGCAGAGCATGGCATTACTGCTGTGCCACCGTCTGGCCCCTACTTCTCATTCTTAAATCACCATTTTGTTTCCCTTGAATCAAGAAACTCTAGAATTGTCAGGAAAGTGAGGTCCTTAGGAAACATCTGGTTCTTCCCCTTCTCCATTTTACAGAAGAATCTAAGCTCTAAGGAGGTAAAATGGTTGTCCAAAGGTCTGCAATTTCTTGTTCCCCACAACTGACAGCTTTTCCTTAACTAGTCACCTTTGTGGGGGAGGGGGGACAGGCAGCACCATCAAGCCCACTCATTCATTCATTTCACTAACATTCATTTGCACACATTGGGAGCTGTGGGAACACATATGAAGGTCTCACACTCTGGAAGGAGAAGCAGATGGCCTCACAAAATTGATTTCATTGTCATGAGTAATGCAGGCTCTAAAGAAGGCACGTTCTGGAGATCCCAGGCGAGTAGGGGATGTGGGGCTGGCTTCAGAGAGGAGATGCTATATCTGATCTTCAAAATGAGTGAGCATCTCAGGGCCTACAGGCAGGGGGCCACTTGCCAGGTAGGGAGCTCAGCCACCCAGCTCTATACTGTTTGCCTGGAGGGCAGTGAAAGTGTGGGAGAAAATGATGACTAAAGAGATGAGGAGGGAGGAGAAGATCATTAAGCAACAACTCCTCAGATTTAATTTTTTTCTAAACTATAAATCTAATTGTATAATTCTCCTGCTTGAATTTCTTGATTACTCTTTATTGCCCTCAAGGGGAAATTTTTTCTCTAATCATTGTGCGAGAAGCTTAGAGGCAACTGAGACTGGAGGCAGGGAGTCCCGGCAAGAGGCAATGTTGCCAGAGTCAGGCAGCACCGTGGAGTGCCTTCAGCATGTGAGAAGGGATCAGCAGGGGGAGAAGGGGGAGGCCACAGGTGCTAAGAAGGGCACACTTGCCATCAGGGTGGGGCAACTCCTTTGTCAAGATCTTCTCCCTAATCCCAAAGTCAGTCTCGAGCCCCTCACTGCAGCTCCCAGAGAATTCAGAACCATAAGGACAGAGTTTAGGTTCCTTCTAACCCTCTGGCCCATTTAAGATAGGAAGGAGCTGGCCACTCCTTTCTCCTGGTCTGAAATTCCCTGGGTTGATTTATTTGTTTGTTTTTTAATTCCCAGAGGGTGCATACACTCATCAGAGAGAGACAGAGAAAGTGAGTGGGAAAAAGTACCCTCTCAATCTCTTCTCTTCCATTTCTCCATCCTGTCTGAATGTGGACACATACATGCATCTGTAATGTTTGTCTTTCTCTTTCTTTCTTTCTTTCTCTTTCTTTCTTTCTTTTCTTAAAAAAAGGCCACTTTAATGTTTTTGTACAATTTAATAAATAATCTTTTGATGACTACAGACATGTAAGACCAGCTATGTTCAGAAACATCAGTCATGATGGTTTTCCAGATTGGTGTATCATCTTCAAAAATTAGAAGGAGTTATTTGTATGCAACTGCTATCAAACCGAGCATTAATACATCCATCATTTTCAGGATTGTTGGTAACTTGGGCATATTTCCCCCAAATAACCAGCGTCCTTGTGTCACAAAGCCCAACTTGCTCATGTTTACCTCAGTGCCAGTACCTTTGGTGATAACACCCGAAGTGTATATAGCGGGGATGAGGGATTCTTCTTTACACCAAGTATTAGCAGGAAAAGGCGGCTTTCAGGTCAGGATGTGTTACATGGGCCTTCTTGAAACATAAGCCCATGGGCCTAATGAATCTTTCATATTTAGATCGTTTTCTAGTAAAGTCATCTCCAACAAAGCAGGCTTTTGTAGCCATCCTCTTCCATGTCTTCTTTCTCTTTCCCATTCGAATAACTTTAATACTTCTGTTTCTCCCTGGGCTGGAACTTTGGGTAGAGGGACTTCCCATTTTCCCACTTTCTCTTTCCATTTTTGTTTAATCATATTGGAACATACTTTAGCTCAGGACTGTTCTTCTCTGTCCAACAGATAGGCAGGTGCTGCTCCTTGCGGAGTCTCTTCATCATTCTTCTGTTTGGTGTTCCTCTTTTCATGCGTCTTGATAGTCTTTTTTATTTGTATTTTCTCAGCATGGCGCTATTTATGATAGAGTTTAGCCTTCAGACCAGACATCTTTTTTGCCTTCTTGGAACGTTCATGGGCCTCCAAACTTTTGTTCTTCTTCTTTGTCTCATGGTAATCCAAACAGTATCCATAGCGTTTACCATGTAATTCAATATATTTGTTTTATGGCATGGTGACGGCTGCAGAGTGGCCAGGAACAGCCTCCTGGGTGCAAAGAAGTTGTCAAATTTCAGGTCTCCAATCTGGAATGTTTTTTAAGCTACTGGGGAAGGAATTGGAACTGCACAGCTGACCACATGGGATTCAGCTCCTTTAGCCACTAGTCTACAGGCTGATGCTGAAATTCTCTGTTTTTTACATGAGACTCTACCACCCAGAGTTTTAGCCTCTCTAAAATAGTACTAAGGCCAATTACATACACAGGTGATTCCCACTTTGGAGTCAGGTAGGTCTGGCTCAGTCCTGCCTCTTCTACTTGCTCTCTGTGCGAGCAGTCTCTCTGGCTTCAGTTTCCTTACCCGTGAAGTGGGCATGCAGCTAACTTCCTGCTCAGCATGAGAGCTAAGTGAGGTCAGGCAGGCACAGTGCCCCCAGGTGGTAGTGACCGACAGCGGCTATCTTCCCGTGTCCTACCTTCCTCTCCCTGTCTTGTGTTGTTGGACTCCATTCGCTATGAGGTAAAGTCCTCAGGCAGAGACAAAATAATTTGCTCAAGGTCATAGAATAAATTAATGAAGAAATAGGATGATACTTCTCAGTCTATAGGTTTCCAGGCTTCTTCTGAGCCAGACTGTCTCCACATTAAGAATTATTGTGACATTTCTTCCATTTGAGCCATTTACATAGTATCTCTGTGGTCTTGGCTGGCTCAGAACCGAAGGAATAATCAGCATTAAGAGGTTTTCTGACATTGAAATAAGCTGAAGGGTGAGTGTGCTGATAGAATGACTTTGCCTGTCGAGTGTAATTGGCTGTTGCTCGGGAAATATCCCCGTTATGTACAGATTTGAAGAGACCTGGCAATGCGCTATCATTTTATTAGAAATAATATTTACAATTTATAAGTGTAAAATCATCAGAGTTTCTGAAGGGGGCTGGTTAAGAATGAGAAATGACTTCATAGTGACTGTAATGCAGACTTCAGACAGGATGAAGTAAAATGATTTAGAATGACCAGCGCCATGCCATGAGAAGTCGCTGAAATATGTGAAGGGACGTGGTCAGGTGTGCTGCTTGGGCACCTGCATGAGTACAAGAAGAGGCGTCTTTCTAGTGAAACCCAAGCAGGGGGAGTTCATTTGTAAAGGACTAGATGATGAAGCCACTGTTGGCATAGGAATTAAACGTACCTATGAGTCAATTGGTCTAGCAACATAACTACTCACTGAAGTCTTCTGCGTTACAGTGAGCAGGGAGGTAGCTATTAGATTCCTCACTTCGTCCCAGTTTCTAGACACAGACAGCCCACTGCAGAGATGGACAGTCTATTCAACAGCCCAGTGTATGTTAGAAGTTGCAAATGAAACCAAACAAAGTCAAGTTAGTGATGGGGAGATTTTTTTGTCTTGTTTTGTTTTGAATTTGCTACAGGGCACATATCCTCACCAAAGAGAGACAGAAAATGAGAAAACCCACCCCCCCCATGGGGGTGGCTATGCTTTGCCTTCATTCTCCTCTCGGGATTTGGGGCACATGTATACATGCACCTGGTATGATTTTCAAGCCACTGGGTCCAGGTCTTGAACTGCACTGTCCACCATATAGGAACCAGCTTCCCTAACTACCACACCACAGGCTGGCCCAGTCATGGTGAGTTTTTAAAAGAAAAGTTTTTAACATTTAATTCAGAAGGAAAAAAAGAAATAACCCATAGCAGTTTGTTTTTCTTAAGTCATGCGAATAGAACTAATTTAAACAAAATTGTGGGATTACTGGCATTGTACACATGTCTTAATAAAACTATTCAGTTTGGAGGACATTTAAATTATGGCTGCTCTGTCTACCTGTAATGGGGTCCAACTCCTGTCTCATTAGTTCAACCCAGTTTCAAGCATGTGAAGGAGCAGGAAAAGCTGACCTTTCTGGAGTTTGAGTTCCTGGTGAGGAGATTCCATTTGCAGACCTGTAGAAATAGGAAATCAAATCCTAAACTGGAAGGAGTTACTTCTTTACAACAAACATTCACAGAGCATCTGCCACATGTCAATGTTGGTGCATGAAACAGGCTGTCTGCTAGCCCTTGGTAAACAGCCTAAGGGGGATTCGAAGTAAAACTACCCTAACACCCCACCTCAGCAGCAGGAGTCATGAAACTGAAGGACATTGTTAGGTCTGTTCTCTGTTGCTTAATAAGTGAATACCTGAAACAGAGTGATCTGAAAGAACACATGATTGATCCAGCTCTGTTTGGAGGTCCAAGGTTCAGGGGCTGCCTCTGGTCAGGGTCGTCTCGCTGCAGAAAGTCCCAGGACAGTGCAGGCACCACACAGAGAGAGGCAAGAGAGAGGCTGCCTCTGTGTCTACATCTCCTTACAAACCAACAAGGGGAGGCCGCCCTGCTCCTAACCTCCTGATCGCCTCCCTAAGGCCTCTCACCTCTGAACTCCACAGTGGATTAAGTTTTCATCCTCTTTTTTTTTTTTCTTTTTTTAAGAGTTTTTGCACTAGGCTATGTGCACTGGCTGGAGAGAGACAGAGAGAGGGAAAGCGAGAAATCACCCCCATGGGGCATGGCTGTGAAGCACATCCATTCTCTTCTTGGGACTTTGGGCATGTATACATACCCAGCGTGATTTTGAAGCCACTGGGTCCAAGACTTGAACCATACTCAGTCATGTGGGAGTCCCGATCCTTAAATACCAGGCCACCTGCTGACCCCAAGTTTTCATCCTCATCCCATCACAACCCCATTTCAACACATGAATTTTGGAGGATCACATTCAAACCTTACAGAGACAAAAGATTTAATATTTTAGTAACTCAAAATAAGTGACTTTCTGAGATTTCTGGTTAAAGTGAAAAGCTTTTCCTCTGAGCTATTTGCTTGCCGTTCATTCGACAAATATTCTCTGAGCACTTTCTGTGTGTTACTACAACCCTCCCCTACCCTCTGGACAGGATTTTACCTGATCTTCATTCCATAGGTGGCTCAAAGAAACAAAATGTTGGCAGTGGAGTTGGACTTTCAATCAAGGCGTGTCCCTTTCTAGCCCCTCCCCAAAGACAACATTCTTACCCCGGCCAGGACACAGTTTCTTTGGAAGTCACCTAGGCTTAATTCTAATACAGGATTTTTGCCTTGGATGTGGAAATTGAGACTCAAGCGAGCCAGGCTCAATCTGAATCAAGTCTGGAAACATTTCTGTGCCAGGAACAGGGCAAGAGGGCCCTTGTATCTAGGAAGTAAACCACAGGCCTGTTAGGGCCTCACCCTCACACAGCAGGCGCATGATGGGAACGCAGAGATCTGCACGCAGGCCCTCCTTGCAATGCTTTGTTGATGGCTCTGATCACCAGTGTCATTTCCTGGATAGCCATCCAACAAAGAAAGCCCCCAGTGATGTTTCCAGACCCCTGGTTGTGCATTAGAGGCAAGGGTCTTTCTGCCAATATTGCAGGGTACAATTTTTAAGTTTATCTATTTATTTTTCCCATAAGAAAGGAAAGGGGGTGGGGAGACATCTCCAACAAGGTCACCATGCTGTGATCCCATCTCTGACCTCAGTTGGCCCAGGTCCCAGACACACATCCTCAATGGCAAGCATGAACAGAGAGACCAGGAGATGAGAACCTGGGACCTTCCCATGTCACTTCTGCTTCTCAAAGCATGACATCGCCATGACTGATTAGTTGCAGGGCTAATTTTAAAGCTCTCAATTTTGACTCTACTTTTGACCCTGGGCCAGATAGAAGTTCAAATCTAAAAGTAAATAAATTCTGAGCTTGAGCCCAGAAGGGCAGAAGATGGAAAGGGAGGCTGAAAAGGCCACCCCTCCCTCAGCTCTAGGGTTTGCTTAACAAAGTGTCTCAGGGAAGAACTTGGGCTGTCACTCAAGGGGGAAGGAGAATAAAGCGGCTAGAGGTGGAGGAGGCAAGGGGAGGGATGCCTGGTTAGAGTTGAAGGTCACAAGGCTTGTCTTTCAAAAGCCTGAGAAGTCGGAGAGAACTACCCATTCATTCTCCAGGAGCAGTGGGGACATACATGCTCCTGTAGTTGTGAAATACGTGATGCATGAGAAATTAGCTGGTAAATACATTCCACATTAATGAGCACCCTTCCCTAATTCAATTCTCGAAGACCGCGTTCAAATTCTGTCTCTCATTTATCTCTGTGTGACTTTGGAAAAGCCATCAGGACCCAGACTTACAAGCTCTTCATGTGTGAAACAGGACTGAGAATCACTCATGCCCTTTCCTCAAGTTGGTTTTAGGAGAGTCACAAAAGGAGTTGAAAGCAAAACCATAGACTCCGCAAGGGACACACTGAGCGACTACACTCGGAATACATAGAGGTTGGGAGCCTTAAACTTAACTCTACAGTGCTGGGGGAAATAGATATTATCTCCAGAGCGATGGAGGAGAAAAGTGATTATGTAAATATTACTGGGGCTTCCTTTGCTGAATTGATGCTCGAGGATCATGACTGACTCCTTCATTGCTGTTTTCAAGGTGCCATTCACAGTGATTTGCAAGGAGTAGAGAAGTTCCATTAGTGAAGGAGGCAATGAAATGCTCAGGCGTCTATGAAGTATCCATTTATTAGTTAAATTTAAAGTACCTTACAACTCTGAATTCACCTTGCTAGCTTGTGAACACATACATGCTTTGTGAACATCTTGGTTTGTTTGGAAAATAATTCCCCTTAGTGTACTCAGAGACAGAAAGACACAGGAAAAAAATTAGAAAGTAAAACAATGGTCTCCTCTGAGATGCCTCTGAGGGAAGTGCGGAAGTCCCTCTTACCTCCCCAGAAACACATCTGTCCTAATTCAGATGTTAACGATGGAAGGTGAACAACTAACATATCCTGAGACATGTCGGATTCTACCGCATAGTGTTTAAAATTTAACTGTTATTTACCATTTCTGGATAACACACATACTTGTGAATTGTTTTACAATCATTTTATAGCTGCTCTGTGAGAGATAATTAAAACAAAACCACTTTAAATGAAGCTACTCAGAGGGACAAAGTTGTGGTGCCAATAATGTGCTATATAAATGCAAATGATCAGGATTTGTATTATAGTGAAAACCGCGTATATCATTTTTCATGGGACCAACATGTAAATATTGTAATAGTTCCCTGATTTATAAAGCACTTTTCTCCCTAAAAAGATAAACATTGCTAGCTATGCATTATTTAACAGGCCTTCCCAACTCTGAGGAATGAGGGAACCCATTCATTCACTAATCCCTTTACTGAGTTCCTACAATATCCAGCTCAAAACAGGTACTCAGTGTTTGACAACTGAATGCATGAGCAAGATGGCATTTCAGCAAAGTCTGTAAATGTCAGTAGACTTCATGTGAAAATGAGAGTTCAGGCAGAGGAAGGGAGAGTTACGAAGAATGAAACATTTAGGGAAGCACTGAGGAATTCAAAAGACGGCAAAAACAAGGAACAAGAACAGAAGCAACTGGAAGAATATTGGGCAAGTGAGTTGAGGCTATCATCAGCCCAGAGAAGAAATCCATTTTTTTAATCCTCAGAAAACGAAAATGTGAAAAAGAAAAAATGATAGGAAAATTTACTTGTGAGGTTAATGTTCTAGCGAAATAACTCCAATTGAGGGATAATCTGTATGTTTTAATTGCCCGAGAAGCTGATAAAAATGTAATCTCGGGAGAGTTGTAACATCATTAGGGTGAGTAAAACAACAGCCTCATCAGTGCTGGGAGCAGAGCGATCCACATTTCAGATTCTGCAGGAACCCTGGCTTGTAGAAAGAAGACTCATCTTAGAGTCCACCACATGCACTGGGTTGGGGAACCCTTTTTTAAAGATACCTTATTAACCACTGGTGGAACTAACATCTTGAAGAATACTCTGGAAAATATTAATTTAGAGTGCAGGAAAAAAGGGCAGAAGAACAACCTCCTGAAATTTGAATTTCAGTGTCCATTCATAACGTTTGATCGGAACATAAGCACACCTATTCATCTACATACATCTGCTGTTTGGAGTTCCACCAGCGGAACTGAGTGGTTATGACAGACCCACAAAGTCTGAAATATTAACTATCTGGACCTTTACAGAAATGGTTTCCCCTGGCTTAGAGCATTGCTCCTTTTAGTGTTTCTCATCATTCATTCATTCAACAAACATTCTGTCCAGACACTAAGGAGGCTAAATGCAGAGAGGCAGGGACGAAGATAAAACTGAGCACACAGTACCCACGTGCTTTCATGGGGATGGACACATGGTGAGGGCAGTACCACGAGGGTATGGCTAACTAGGGGTGAGGATGAGGAGAGGACAGGAAAGGTTTCAGGAAAGAAGTAACAGTCCACCTGGTTCTTAAGCATGACAATCGCACAGTGAGCAGTAGCCAGCCAGTCACTCTCAGATCTTACAGATGAACATACAGAAACTCAGAGAGGTCAATGGCTTGGTTAAGGTCAATTGACAAAAAAGGGTCAGAACAGGCCAGAGCCTACTTCTGGGCTTCCCACCTTCAGTCCCATGTGTCCTACAGAAGCAGGTTGTTTGTCAACAAGGGAAGGCCATCCGTGCAACCAGGTAGGAAGCCAGCAGAGGGGAATGGGACATGGGGCTGTGACTTTCCCAAGGCCTACATCTGATTCAGTCATGGCGACGACCACTGAGAGTGGAAACTCCATGTGCTTGCTGGCATGGGACAAACGTGACTTCACAATGGCCATCTGAGGGACCAGCAGATGGCATCATGGGTATGTTGCTAAATAGCCACATAGTTGGCCTGAGTTCAAATTCTAGATCCGGCAGTTTAAACTCAGGCCAGATGTGTGTGCATCCATGCCCAAAATCCCAAGAGGAGAATGGAGAAGAAGGGATTGTGGCGTGACCATCTCCCATCTCCTCTGGGGGGTGATTTCTCACTTTCAGTCTCTCTGTCTCTCTGGTGAGTGCACGTGCCCTATAGCAAAAACCTCTTTCTCTAAAAATAAATAAATAAATAAATAAAATGGTCATCCGAGAATGTAGGCAGTTGTCTTATGGACTGCAAGTTACTATTCTGAGAACTTAGCGCTATTTGTATTCTTTGAAGAACTGATGCCAAAGCCTGGATTTTGTTACCTTCTTGGAATCATTGGGAATATCCCAAGTTTGGAGTCTGTTTTATTTCTGTCACTCTGGTTTGGGATACATCCATGGAAGCTTGGAAGGGAAAAGAGTTGTCATTTTAAATTTAGCCATTTTCCAACCATTTTTAATTTGCTTTTTTGTTTTGTTTTAACAAAGGTGTTAAATGTCTACCATGTGTTAGAAACTTTTACATTGCATCATTTCAATAAGTTATGGTTTCTAGTGAATGAAAATTGTACTGAGCATATAAATGTTTCATTTCATTTTATTCTCAAAACAATCATGTGAAATATAGGTTTGTAAATTTGGAAGTGAAGGATCAGGATGAGTGGAAGGGAAGAAGGACATTGCTGTTAAGCAAACCTCAATTACAAAATTCGGAAGGTATTTCCTTTTTATTCTATTTTGATTAATTCCGCAGAGAATCACACTGAAACTTTTTATTATGCAAAAATATTTATTCCAATTTTTAGTTAACATTGCCATTGCCTGAAACTGCTCTATCTTCTTCCAGAGGCTTCTGAATGTCCATAGCTATGGATACACATTAATCTGCTACTTACCTGACCTTGGGAATTGCCCTGCTTTCTCCACACAGAGGGGTGAACCTGGGTATCTATTTAAATTTAAAACACATAGCTGTGGATGTAAATACTCCGGGGCTCCATAACCTTGAGTCCATGTCCAGTCTTTCCTCCCTTGCTTATCCCGCATTCTCTTGCTCATTATCTCCAGACTGACCTGGCTTAGACCACCTCTGGGGCCTTCCTGGAGCTGCTGCTGGTGAGCCTGTGGCCTGAGAACAGGAAGGGGATGATCTACTTTCACTGTGGGATTTGGGTCCTCTTATTCTAACACTGGAAATCCACTCAAGTGGAACAAAGCATTTGCAGAGCATAAATATTCTTAAAATTAAAGTTTACTGCATGTAGAAAATTTACCCTTAAGGAGCTATAAATTATTTCCTACTCAGGACGCCGGCATCATGATCAGTGAATGAAGATCCGACTTTCTTTGCCATGAGTTGCTCTGTGTCTTTGCTCTAAATTCCTATTAACCTACGAGAGGAAATCGAATACAAAAATTGGACGAAATGTTTCCCTGTGAGGATATTAGTCACCCTGCTGACTAAACTTGAAATCTGATCCCTTATCAGTTCTCACCCACTGCAAAGGCAACTTGACATTAGAGGGTGTGACCTTGACACCTGTGGATCCTGGCTCAGACTCCAATAGCCCCCAGAGATTGATAATGAGGGGGAGACACAGGAACACTTCGGTTCCTGCATGAGCCATACACAATGTATAAAGCACAGGCTATCTGGAAACTTCACTCTAGCTTTGTAACTTACTCGCTGTGTCACCTGGGACAGGCAAAGCAACTTTCCCGAGTCTCACTTTCCTCATCTGTAAAATGGGAACAGTATCTACCTCATAGGATTGTGAACATTCCATGAATTCATCCATATGACAGGTTTACAACATCCTGACCACAGTGCCCAATCAATGTCCGTTATTATTATTAACAACACATGTCACTGAATTTAGAAAGGGAGCAGCCAAGAATTACCCTGAGGAAAACAGTATTTCAACCTTTGTAGTTAGCTTATTCACTCCCAGATTTTCGCTTTACATAACATGCATGTGCAATTGCAGGGATTGATTGGCATGGACCATCCGCCATTTGTTCCATCCAGTCATTTCATGTGGCAAATGTGAGATCCCAGGAGCAAACCTTTCACTGATTTATTCACTCAGTAAATACTCTTTCTCAGGTTCTGAGCTAGCATACAAATGGAGGTTCACACAGCATGTGTCTAAATATTTAACAATTATAACTCGTGGTAACACATCATTACATAAAATGTTGTACCCTACTTTGACACATTTAGTTTCAAGATGACCTAGAAGGCCAGGCTTGATTTTAGAATTCTTGGATCTCTGAGTGTTGCCCAAATGTGGCAGTACAAGCATTATTGGTCTTAGACCCTACTCAAGAGGTGCTGATCTTGACACATTTTTTCCCCTACTAGAGGTTCAGTTCTGCATCTGCATCTTGCACACAAGGATGTAGATGCCCTAGGTTGCCCTTCCGAGCTACATACACAGCTTACCCCCACAGTTCCATGGTTATGCCTCAGGTCTAAGGTTGCTCACTCTAGTGGCATCATCCATCCTTATGACTTTAGACCTAGGCAAGGAAGGCAGGCTCTGGGCCTTTGGGATAGGTAATTGCATGGCCCTAGGCATCTAGAATGGGTACACAATTCCCCTTGGCCCTACAGACTTCTTTTTTTTTTTTTTTGGAGAGGTTTTTGCTATAGGGCATGTGTGCTCGCCAGATAGACAGAGAGAGACAGAGAGACAGAAAGCGAGAAATCACCCCCCAGGGGGGATGGTCACGCTACAATCCCTTCTCCTCCATTCTCCTCTCGGGATCTTGGGCACGCACGCACACGTGCCCAGCATGAGTTTTAAGCCACCGGGTCCGGGACACAAACCGCGGTCAACTATGTGGGAGTCCAGCGACATAGCCATTATGCTAACTGCTGGTTCCCAGCCCTACAGACTTCTTACCCCATGGGAACAGGCATAGTTGGAGAAGGACAAAAGCAATAGCTAGGCAAGAACCTCCTTGCTTAGGTCTAAGGGCAGTGCTGCTTATTAATCCCCTTCTTTATGTCTATCCTGATTTAAATGGGCTGAAAAACACCCCTGATCCCACTCCTTAACTGGCCTGGGGTCTTGAATAGGAGGTGGCTGCTTTTCTCTGCTCCTCCTTAGGAAATAGGGTAAACTGGAAGTGGCTGCTTCTCACTGGCTCCATCATTTCCAGCTCCATCACTCAGACTTCATCACCCCAGCTCCATCATTCAGGACCCCTCACTCCCAGACCCATTACTCCTGGCTCAGTTAGCTCCTTCAGCTCTGTCAATCCTGGCTCCATCAGCTCCATCAGATACGTCACTTCTGGCTCCATCACTATGGATTTTGGCTCCATCATTCCCAGCGCTGCCACTCCTGGCTCCATCACTCCCTGCCTTCATCTCTTCTGGCTCTGTGACTCCTGGCCTTGGCTAAGTCACTCCCAGCTCTATCACTCCTGGCTTCATTATTCTCAGCTCAATCACTCCTGGCTCCATCACTTCAAGCTTGAACTCTGTCACTCCTGTCTCCATCACTCCCAGCTTGAGCTCCATCACTCTCATCACTCCCAGCTCTATTATTCCCAGCTCCATCACTCAGGGTTCATCACTCCTAGCTCCATCATCCTGGTTCTGTCACTCCTATCTCTGTCACCTCAGGCTCCATCATTCCTATCTCCATCACTCAGGCTACATCACCCAGCTACATCACTTGGCTCAATCATCCTGTCTCTGTCACTCCCAGATCCATCAGTCCCAGCTCCATAACTCTTGACTCAGTGACACTCAGCTTCATCACTCCAGGTTGGGTTACTCTAAGCTCCATCACTTCTGGTTTTGTCATTCCTGGCTCCCCTGGCTTTATTATCCCAGCTCCATCATGCCAGTTCCTTTACTACCAACTCTATCACTCTGGCTATATCACTCAGACTCTATCATTCAGTACCCATCACCATGACTCCATCATCCTGGCTTCATCACTCCTGGCTGTATCCTTCAGGTCCATCACTAAACTGGCTCCATCATTTCCTGCTTTATCATTCTGGCCTTATCACCCCCTGGCTTTAACATCCCAGCTCTGTCATTACCAGCTCCATCACTCCTGGATCCATCACTCCAAGCTCCATCATGTATAACCCCATCACTCCCAGCTTCATCATTCCCAGCTCCATTACCCAGTCTCCATCACCCCAACTACATCACCCTAGCTCTGTCACTTCCAACTGCATCACCTCTGGCTCTGCCACTCCCAGTTTTGTCACCCTCAACAACCTCTCCCAGCTCTATCACCCTCGAATCAGGCTCTGTCCCTTTCTGCTCCATCATTCCCAGCTCTATTACTTCTGGCTCTCTCATTCCCAGCTCCATCCCTCCTGAATTTATCACTCTCGATTCTGACTCCATTGTCCCTGACTCTGTCACTCCTGGCTCAAACACTCCTGACTCCGTCACTCTCAGCTCCATCACTGTCGGTTATATCACTCCTGGTTCTATGGCATCTGACTTCATCTTTCCAAGCCCCATCACTCAGGTTCCATCACTCCTGGCTGTAGCTCCATTGTTCTTGGCTCCATTATTCCCAGATCTTTACTCCTGGCTTCATGATTCCTGGATCTATCATCATTCCAAATCTATCATCCCGACTCCATCACCACAGCTTCATCACTCATGCTCTTTCACTCAGACTTCATTACCTTGGATCAATTTTCCTGGCTCCACCACTCCCAAATTCATCACTCTTGGTTCCTTCATCACTCCTAGTTCCATCACTCCTGGCTCAGGCTCTATCACTCCCAACTCCATTACTCCTGGTCCTTCACTCCAAGCTCCAACACTCCAGATTCCATCTCTCCCAGCTCCATCCCTCCCAACT